CGTAATCCAAACACGTTGAAATGCAAAACAACTGACAAAAGAGTTTTATACGCAAAAATCCCGTGGCTCGTCATGACAACGTCAATCATCATCAAGATTACACGCGTGATCAGCATGTGAACACTTCATTGGATCACAGTTAGTTGTCGTCATGGCGTTAAGATCCCAATGACCACTGGGTACTATTGCGCAATTTTTCCATTTTGTGGCGGAGGAAAAAAAAAGACGACAAAAAACAAAGGCATTTTATGACTGGGCTACCACAGGTATCCCAGTAAAAACAACAACATTTGAATAAATTAATTTTCATTTTTTGGGGTAAATTTGCTAGTCAGCGTCCGAGTTCAATTATATACTTTGCTTTAAGGATATAGGCAAAGATTGTGAGCGATTATTGGATAGAGTAAGAAAAGGACGATGTTCGATTAGCGTCGCGCTTACGAAACTAGACCTCAACCTCCCCGCGGTTTCTGCTTGCATTTGTAAACAGTGCCAAGGTCGTCGAAAAAAGTTGGATCATTTGCTAAGAGATAGTGACGCTGCAAGTGTGAAGAGAGAGCGACTCTTTTCTCAGTCGGAAGAATCGCTACAAGAAACAAATAGCTTCAAGGATGTACAAGCGAGCCGGCAAGTAGCAACAGAAGAACCAAACAAAGGTTTGTAAACATATCAGGCGCCGTAATTTACATTATTAACACGTGAGCAGATACGAAAATCCTCAAAGGAAAAAAAAATAGACATTCCGAGTTTTAAAGATTTTCACGCTCAGTTAGATTGCAAGCTTACGTACGGTAATAAAAATCAAACACAGCTAACACTCGTATAGTATATAAAGTTCAGAGTTAAAAAACAAAAGAGAACAAAACAGAAATTATGAAAAATATAATCAAACTGACATAACTGTTAAAATTCATGACGGTGTCTGAGCAAATATGATCATGCTGAAGTCCATCGCGGCTCGCTTAGCATGGCGATCTCCGCTCATTACAGTAAAGCAAGCCTCAGAAACTACATCGGCCGGCCTTCGAGTGAAAAAATAAGAGCTCGCTCTGAAATCCTTTCCGATACGTTGAGTAGAAAGTCACTTCAGTCACTGCAGCCGAGTTTTGCGGCGCTGTCATCCCGAGCGATCATCATGTTCCGGTGAATTCGGCTGTTGTTCATTTAAAAAACACTCGCCTCGAACAGTTTGTTTTCTACCTTGAAAAAACTCGCGTGTTTTTTATGAGCCATAATTCGGCTGAAGTTCACTGAACATTTCACTTGAAGATTCTGTATTCAAAACTTCAGGCAAAAGCGTTAAAATCGACCTGCCGAACTATTTTAGTTTGTAAACTATCGCAGATTGTGAACTTTGATGGTTTGACACTTTTGACAGCTTTTGTCTCCAATCAGCCAATCAGATTATTTGAACCATTCTAACAGGGATTCTGATTTGCTTATTGTAGCGTGCTCTATGAGAGTATAGAGCATGCTGACGACACTGTTGTTCGCTTTGGAAATAAAGTTTGTTTTGAAAATTGAAAGTAATTCTTGGGGAATTTAACGGATTCTTTATTATAAAACAAATAGAGAAGCCTTGACTGTGCTCTGTTCTGTTATAAAGCACTTAGGAAGCGGCTAGAGCACGAAAGAAGTGTAGAAAGAAACACTAGACGTAGTCGAGTGTTTCTTCCCACTTCTTGAGTGCTCTAGCCGCTTCCTAAGTGCTTTATAACAGAACAGAGCACAGTCAAGGCTTCTCTATTTGTTAAACAGAGCACAGTCAAGGCTTCTCTATTTGTTAGTCAAGTTTGATTTTTATTTCCGTACGTAAGCTTGCAATCTAACTGAGCGTGAATCAGTTTATAAAACCTCGAATGTCTATTTTGTTTTTCCTTTGAGGATTTTCGTATCTGCTCACGTTTTAATAACGTAAATTACGGCGCCTGGTATGTTTACAAACCTTTATTTGGTTCTTCTATTGCTACTTGCCGGTTCGCTTGTTCCGAAATTTCACTTTCAATTATCGGAAAAAAGCTAAAAGGAAGTCCCGGAAGAGGTCGAACATAGTACAGTTTGGCAGATGGCGTGACAGCTTTAGCTCAGCTCTATGCTCTATACTCTCATAGAGCACGCTCTTTCAACCAACGACAGCGCGCGTTATATCCGAACTTTATTATAAAAATGACTTAGGATTTATCGTTTATTGAATCAGTGACCCCATAGAAAATTTAAACATTTTGATTTTAATTTTATTTCATTAAAGCAGTAACTTGTACTTCCTATCGGTTTACCGGCGTTATAACCCACATACAAACTTTTCTTCGTGTTCTATTCTAAGCAGTCTGTTGCTTAATTTGTAACACTCGAATGCGTTGCATAACTGGTATATGTTAGCGTGGTGTAACATGTCACATCAACATGTAATCCTTGCACTTTTTCGTAACGAACAATGAAATTTCCCCAAAGAGTGCAAGCTAAAGCGATAAATTCCTGGAAACCTACATGTCGACAGGGAGAGCTCTCTGAACATGTTGGAACTCATTTGATGCATTTTATTGCTATAGGAGTGGTATTCGGTCGTTTAGTGTGACTGACTCGGTGGTGATGCTTGTAGATAAGTACTCTGACATTGATTGACATATAAAATCTGGGCGGAAGTCATTTCGTTTCGTCATCAGAGCTAAAGTTGAGTCACTTGAAAAATGTGACGGTAGAGTTACATAAGTGATTTTGATTGTAAATTCTGCACTAAAAGGAAGCTCTTACCACTAAACCAAGTTTTTTTTCTTTTTTGTTCATGACGGTCGTCAATTTCTATGCATGTGTGCATCCGGATTTATCGGGAGCTTGAAGTGGTTGACGAGACAAATAGATTAATCTCCGTTACACGAAATTGCTGACACATATTGATCCCTGATTAGTCAAGGGTATCAAATTTATCCAACAGCAGTTGTTTTGATTTAAATAATATACTAAGAGAGGCATTTCCACGCGTTATTCGGTATAATCTCATAGAGCATCGATCCTACCTTACGATAGGAAATCAATTGGCAAAGAAAAAACCCATTGAGCATGGACTAAGTTGAGTCTTCTTCCCGAGTTAAGGGTAAACCCCAACAAAAAAAACGGGATCCAAAATGCTGCTCTTGCTTAGGGTATGGGGACGCTGTGTTGTTGCTGTCGATTTTAGCCCGGAAACTTTCCCTGTTTTAATTAAATGTCGTTTTTTATTTGGAAAGCAGCGGTCATTGACGACATATCAATTGTAAACTATACAGAATATGCTTCGGTTGATGTCTTGCCGTTCGAGGTAAAAACACGAAGTTTCAGTCGGCTTCACCTTGTGCTTTCTCAAATTCAGTGCTCTCGTCCGCCATTTTTTGACGAGGTTCTTTCATATTATTTCCCATTTACACAAAATTGCTTTTTTCAACTTAATAACTGTACAGTCACCGAGCTAAGAACTTGTCGATCGTGTCATCTCAGTTATTACTTATGCACCGTTGCCATTAATGCAGTTTTTTTTTACTTTCCTTTCTTACAATCTGCGGTTATGAATATCTATAGAAAAGAGTGTCGCCCTACCTGCAAAGGGGACAGAAGCCAATGAAAGGAATAGAAACTTGACGATAGACATCATCCACTTCCTCATAATGAGCTAAAACCGCTTCCTGTTTTAACTGGCTTGACTGCTGTGAAAGTTAATTTATTCGGCTTGTGAAATATTTACAATCTAAGCCAATATAGATGAAAATGCAGCCTACCGTTTAATTATTTCGGTTCCAACACTATTCCACAAAAATGTAACTCTTTCACCACCGAGTTCACCTCCCCCACTTCCACCCCCTTCAGCTGTGTGAAATTGGGTTCAGCAGTACAGTGCGCTTTTCAAGTTTCTTGTTGCTATAAGGAATCCCGCTGGTTCATTTCTTGACTAATTGCGTCCTTCTCCTATTCTTTATGAGTGGAGAGAGCGTTTCTGGGAGGAGAATTGAAGAAATAAATTAATGAAAGACTGAATAAATCTCGAAATAAATAAATAAAATGATTAATAGATATAGAATATATTCGCTAAATCGATTCGTTCAGTTTATCCTGGAAAATTGTCTATTGTTTGATTTGACGATGCCCTTGTTTCTATTGTACACTTGGTTACTTCCTTGCTCCCTAAACTTAAACAAAGGTATAGGTATTGTTTTCAATTTCACGCTGGAGAAAGAATTGTTTCTCCAAATACTTTGATTTATGAAAAGTCAATATTTAAACTGCAAGAAAAGTATCTATTTATTCATCAGCTGTGCGTTTATCGAAATATGAAGCATTTGAATAATTTGGAATGAATTCAAGAAGCCACACTATTGATCTCGGCTGCGCCTCGGGCAACTCGTTCTTACGCATGTTTCGTACCCCAACTTCGCGCATCTTCCATATCTGATGCGTGATGAGACACGAGGCGGTTCAGAACACAATTACACGGAAGAAGCGCGATGTAGCCGCTGGTTAACAGTTCGTGGGCCCCTAAATATAACGATTGCATATTATTCCTTTACTTCCCTGCCGTGGCATCTTGAAGCGTGGTTCGCCTTCACGGCGCGGAAATTGCAATGTTTTCAGTCATATCCATCGTGTCTAAATTCTTATGTCTGATTTTCTTTATTCGTAAGGCAGGTAGGTACACGAGCTCATCTTTACTGAGCGAGCGTTTCCGTTGGCGCGAAAAACAGCTTCGCGCTGGACTGTCGGGTCATATTTCCAAACTGGTTAAGGATTTGTGCTGTTTAAATAATTTTTTTGTTTTGTTTTGTAGAATTAGCACCAACATTTACGGTAACTCCTCCAAATCCGTTCTATGTTTTGGAAGGCGACAATATCACCTTCGTGTGGCGGTACAACTTTGATGGAACGTTTGACAGAGTTATCTTTCGGTTCGCCAGCAGCACTCCCTCCCGCAACATTGTAATCAAACATGACCTAAACCTCAACGCATCGGTTCCAAAGAGTTTTTATAAGGGTCGCGTTCGAGAAAACATCAATGCTACGCGAGCAGAAATTACGATCTTTGCATTGCAGAGATCAGAGAGTGGGAAATACGAAATCGAAGTGATCGACAGTAATTTCGACCCTGCTATTGATGGAATGACTGTTCAAGTACAGTGTAAGTAAACCACCAAAATTTTCATGAATATTATCTCTACTGGTTCTATTTGTTGAAAAATTTTAAAATCATTCCGTAAAGGTGAATCTCGTTTCGTTATTGGATATTTCATTTCATTTATACTCGACGCAAACTGCGGCTATTTTTCCGGTAGCTTTGGAAGATATGCTGTACAAAGCAGCTCATGATGGTCACTGGATTGCTAAAACAAAAACTTTTTAGCGCCGATATACACCAAATATGCCGCAAGAGGTCGAGACTTGCTGCAGTCTTATCTCAAAACAGGTTCGAGACCTACGTTTTTAAATTGCACATATTTAATTTAAACAATGAAACGCGCAGAATGCGACAATCTTCGGCTCCTCGAGCACTGCTGCGGACATATCGCGTATTTTCGCTCTGTCTGTCTTAATTTTTTCTTCGTGATCTGTTAAGGCTCAAGTTACATTTTAAAGAACGCTGACAGGGCTAGTAATATCAGAAAAAAGCATACATTACACCTTTTCATAGGATATGCAATGCTAGAATAGGTAAACAAATGTAAACCTGCGTGGCCATCTAACGCCGCTTAAATTACATTTTATACGAAATTTTCATCGTCTATTTAATGAGTGGAATATTTTCAAAGTCGTCGCTTTTATCAAAGAGAGAGCTAAGCGTACTTAAGCTTAATATCCTCCGTTATGTGGCCAGTTCGAGAAAACTCACTTTCAGTTCATTTGCATTTAACGACTCTATACATGTTTAATGATTTCATCAGATAACTATGTAAAGTTTGAGAGGACGTATTCTATTTATCGTTTTTTCCAATCATTCAAAGATTTGCGATTTCAATTTAGCGTAATGCTTTTCTGCTGTTTTTAAGCCAGTGTGTATTTCTTGATAAGTTTCTAAGAGCTTAAGTTCTGTTTACGGGCAACGAGTGGACGATAATGGTCATTTTTTTGTCGCATGAATCATTTATATTGCCTCAATGTTTTAAGTTGTTTTGTCACGTCCCGAAATAGCGCTCTGAATGTTATGGCTACACTGTTTAGATATTGTTTGTGTAAATAACCAAAACCATTCGTTTTCAAAAAAAGGTATTTTCCGGCAAAAATGCAGTTTTGGAAAACGGTGTTTTTAGATTGACTTCATTCCTTTAAGGCAGTGAAGGATAACAAATTTCGTTTCAGCGCATTGCATACTAATAAAGAGAGAAATAAATTCTTTAAACCAATATGTGGTTTGTTTATAGAGAGCAATGTTTGCCAAAAACATAGTTATATATTTAACAGAGAGTATGAGAATTCTTATTGTTTGTAACTCAACTGTTCTTAGGTTTGAAAACGAACTTCACTCTTAAAGTTATTTGTAACTTTGGTTCCACTGGCGTAAACAAAAGCCGGATATTGGTTTGGTGATAGACATTTGCAGTGACTTAGTCCTGAATTAAAATAATTATGAGTTAATTTTTTTATTTCTTTTGTGGGAGGCTGTGTCCAATTTAGTTATAACATACAAGCTAAAAACATCTTTTCATCCGGCACGCAACCAGCATGTAGGTTTAGAACCTCCTTTCTATTGTGTGGAATCATGACAGCTTTTGAAGTCGTGCATAGTAATGACTAATTATCACGCGGTTGTCTTGAAATACATGGAAAACTGAATTCCCAGAAAAATTATTTTGACAGTTTTTCAAGTTATCTTGGTCTCTGGAAAAATAGGTTATTGTCTTGTCTTAGTCAGCTCCTAGATGCTAGCCAGAGGTTTCAGAAAATCTGTGGATCATTTTCTTGAGAAAAATGCATGACAGCATTTGGAAAGCAAAACTGAAAGTAAAACAAATGTGATGGGACTTTGCCCCAATATGCTACCAGTAGTTGATCATGCACTCTGATATCATTAGCTGAGGCATTGTTCTAATTTGTAAGACCTTTCTGTCCCATTTCTTCATGTATTTTACATCTTTGTTTAAAAACCCATAACTCAATTAAGGTTTACATTTTGTTAATATGCAAATCCTGGCAGAAGTAATGTTTGTGAATTTTGTTAATGCTTTTAAACATTATCAAACCAACTGTAGTCCACTATCATCATCGAAAACTGCAGTTTTTGTCCAAGATAAGGACTTGTGTAATTTTACTGAATTTTTTCAGTTTTGATGATTAATTTTGACTCCAGCTGTCATAGTTCAGTACTGTATGATCCCGCACATCCTGGCAACTACCAATTATATGTTCATGCTTGATGCTGTCTATTAGAAAGATGTTTTTTCTCTTTTGTGAACATTTATCATCCAAATAGTGCTTTTTATCCACTTGTTAGTGATACCCATTTTGGGTTGGCATGCAGCAACAAACAATAATATTGTTGAATCACATGTGAACCAAAACTGCACATGAAATTTTTCCTTTTAGGAGAATTACTTTGAAGAAGTGAAGGATATCTAAATTTCTTACAGCACAATGGTTATTATGATGAAAAGTAATTTTTTTTCTTCAAGACTATTTTGGTCTTGAAAGGAAAACAATTTTGTCTTCATGATGTTATGTCTCAAAAATGCTCAATTGTTCCTTTTGACAGTGACTGTGCAAATTCTCATCATTTTTCCCTCCTTGTCTATTTTGGGTCTTTATGGAGAAATAGCTCAAGCTTAATGTTGTTTGCATTTTTGGTTCCTATGGTGTAAACAAAAGCCTGATATTGATGTGACCAACAGACATCTGCTCTGATGTAGCTAATATTATATTGACAGAAACAGTTATGCCTTTATTTTGAATTTCTTTTGAGGGAGCTTTTGTGCAAATTACTTCAATGAAAGGAGAAATTAAAAATGTCTGTAGTCACAAGGTACCCATCTGTGAGAGGTTGCAGTGCCTCTTTTGTCATGTAGAGCAATTAAAACAAAATTTTTTCAAATTAATGACTAATTAACTTTACTGTAGGTTGTTTTCAAAAACTCCCACAAAAATTCACTCTTGGTCATATTGGTCTTTGGGAATAAATTTTTGTTGTCTCTCAATTCATGGCATATGATTCTAGAGCTTTCACAACATGTGGGAGTTGTTTATTGGAGACAAGTTGTTTACAGGGTGGTATTTTAGAAGAAAATCTGAATTTCAAATAAATGTACATGAAGGACTTTGAACTAATATATTATTTGAGGTCATGAATCATATTATACTCACTTTGTATAATTCATTGATTGTTCAAAGTCTAAGAATCACAGACTTCATCTCTGCCTCTATCTCTCATAAAGTTAACATGTTTTCATTAAAACTTGAACTGAAAAACATTATATGCATAATTGCACAATGCACAATGTATGTGGTGTTTTTTGAAAAGCCATAATAAAAGTTTCTGAAATGTTTATTTGATATTTTGAAATTACACCAAACCAACCACCAATGTTATATTAACAACACATACAAAATTGTTTTCTATGAGATAAATCACTATTAGCAGATACAGTGTGTAATATAATGTAGTGTATTTTACTAACTCTTGTCTGGTGAATTGTGGTTTATCTGCCAGATGGCAAGATACAGTTTTTATGGATAGCCACTCTGAGTTACATGTACTACTGGTACATGTTGGCACATAAAGCATTGAAAAATAAATTATTCTTTAAATCTTTAAATCATCAATCTTTAGTTACCTCAGGACTTTTGCTTTTAGTTCATTACTTAAGGTTTGTCCCTTTACTCTTCAGGGGTTTCCTTTAGTGGTTACAGCTGCCTATTAAACCTTCAGTGGCCGCTTATAGCTAATGTTATTGAAACCCCTGCTCTTTACCTATCCACTGTACATGTACACTGGTGTATACTTCTTTAACCAGTGATCAACACTAAAAAAAGTATTCTTCATGCAATGGAGGAAAAAAATATATATGTACATGTAAAAATATCCAATGGCAAATATTATTGGCAATTTTATTTGATAAGCGAGTACATGTATTTGTGAAAAGTTATCTGGGATTGCACAGGTTTGCTGTGATTTCTCTCACATGCAAAACTTGTGCAATTCTTTCCACCAATTATTGGTAGATTTAAACATTCATGCTATTTGTTTACTAAATAGAAGTTTCCATGTTTCCACATTGTATTCATTGTTAAAGACTTATGTTGGCATTTTCCTTTGTGCTGTTTGGTTGTTGTGGTTATGTACTTGAAGATTAAGTTTGGTTTTTGTAACACTCATCACTGGAGAAGCACTGTAACTTCAGTTGTTTCCAAGAAAGTTATGTGACTCTCTGCTCTAAACATCTGTGTTTTTAATAAAACTCAGGTTATTTTTGAAAAACACATCTATAGCAAGTGTATGTTATGTTATGTTACTCCAAACATGTGTACAACATTTTCTGTTTGTCATTTATTTAACAGATCCACCAGAATTCAACAGCTTTAGTAGTGATGTAGTTGTTGTGGAAGGTGACCCAAGTGTTACATTAGAGTGTATTGCAGATGGTGAACCAACACCAAACATCACCTGGACCAAAGTCTATACCAATGGCAATGACAGTGATGTACTGGAAACTGGGAATCAGTTTGTCCTTGAAACCAACAGAATTAACAGTGGAATGTATCGCTGTACAGCATACAATGGAATAGGAACAGCACCAAATCGCACAGTGAAAGTAGATGTTAATTGTAAGTAGATAATTGTATATTGTACCTATAGTTGATTTTTTTTAATTTTTCACAGAATGTAGGAATGATTGTCATGGTAGGTTAAGATAATGTAAAATGAAACTCCAAAAATGTGGGCACTTTTATTAAAGTTGTGAGGATGCAAGCAGGGTATGAAAAAGCCATGCAACCTGGCAGAGGGTGTTGTGAGATTCAGGGTGAATGATAATATTAAAAAAGAGCTGCAAGTCAGAATAAGAAAAAAAAAAGGAAAGGAAAGGAAAGGTGGAGCAATCAGTCACCTATGGCATTGGACTGGAAAGAAAAATGTTTGGCTCTTGCAACATGATGTACAACGTCACATGGTCTGATACTGATGCATGATCAAATATTGTTGTTTTCTTCTCTATAGACAAACCAGAGAATGTAAAGTTAATGGTGAATGACTCAGTTGTATGTAAAGGTGATGTTATCAGTATCACCTGCTCAGCAGATGGTAAACCTGCAGTGCATACTTATCAACTATTTGAGAATGAAATACCAGTTAATGATGGAAACAGCTCAGTTGGGGTATGGATGAGAAAAGATTTAATAGAAGGAGACTTTAGCTACAGATGTGTGGCTAATAACACTGTTGGTACAACTAAGAAGACTTTAAATGTCACAGTTAAAGGTACAATATGAGAAGTAGTTGTTATCTGTCACAGCCATTAGCTTACATATGGTAAATGAATACTGGTGTAGGGTGTAATGCTTTAATACCATTTTCCCCATGATGTATTGTGTATTTAGCTTCAAGTGGCAACAGCAAATGAGTATTTTTGTTGGTGAGGTTGCTTTTGATATTGTGTATTAGTTCCATAGTTTCTTTTAGTTTACATTATAATGAAAATAATAGTTTAACTACAGTACATGTAGGTGTCACTTACATGTGAGTCAAAAAAATTCAACACCTGTCCACTTCAAGTGGAAAGCAATCACTGCAATTTACAGTTTTGTCTTATGAAGGCTTTTGTATTCTTACTCTGTTGAAACAATCCTGTTTCTTCAACTGTTAATTGATGGCTGTCTGGACTCAATCCTATCCAGGGTTCCAATTGGAGGGCTCAGAGCAAGAACGATCCCTTGATTTTTCGGCCATTTTTGAAAGTGTTCAGAAGTAGTTGAAATCACATTTTTCTTAGCCAGTGTATTTAGCTGGAAGCCAGCACTTACTGAAAACCCTAATGAAGGAAAGAGAAACTGAAACACATCTGAGTCTTAGAATAAGTTACATGTAATCTCAAAAGTCATAGGCTCAAATTTTGATATTACATTTATTTTTAATTATTTTATTTGTTTGTTACTGGGACTAATGATCCAATAGAGAATGATTTTCTTCTAGTGAGATGAACTCAAACTGTAAAATTTCCTTATTTCTTTAGAATGCTTTTGCATTTTGAAAATGCATTTTAAAATAAATGAAGATCTGATGAGTGCATAGGTTCATAAACATGTATGTGTATACTTCTAATCATTTTTATCTTTTGTTCTGTGCAGTGCCCTCCAAAGTTTATCCATTGGAGAACATCACAGTTATAGAGGGTGAAAACAAAACTTTAACCTGTAATGTTTCTGGAAGTCCTTTGCTGAATGTAACATGGACAGAGGTTAGCAGCGGGAGTCAGTCCAGTGGAGTCATGCGTTATCTTACAAATATCAGCAGGAATAATGATGGTGAATACAAATGTGAAGCTACAAATGACTGTGGAAATAGCTCTGCCAGCACTTTCCTCACTGTGCTCTGTAAGTGATTGCTATTTACATAATAATCATCAGGAAGTAATATGCATTAAGGTCTAGAGTGTTCATCTTGTAGCCCACTTTCCACTTGTTGCTAAGTGTGAAGTGCTAGATTCTTGAGCTGTCAGGTATTCCTTTCTCTTTTGAAATTAAGAAAGAGTAAAAAGCACTTAGGAGGCTGCCTTGTTTTTGAATAGATAATAAAACTAGATATAGAATTTCTATTGAAGTGTCCAACTTGATATGATTTTTATCGAGGTCCACATGAGAAGACAAATTTATATCCATAAGCAACCATGCTCTTTTTTGTTTCTTATTTTAACAATCTCAGTTTGGTTATTAATCAAAAAAATTTGACAAAAAACCTTGGATTGAGAATTCTGAATGCTTTTTCAGTCATTTATCAACCTGACAGAATGGTGCAAAAGGCAAGTGATGTTTTGGCAGCTTATTGGCGATATCAAACATGTAAAAAGTTATTGTAAATTTACAATCATATACAGTTACAGCTTTCCCTAGGGCTAGAAATCGCTGTAAAAATCTGCAGTTTATGCAACAAAACATTTTGCCCGACAATTCTGGAGAACTCTTAGTGACACTTATAATGCAGTGAACTGTGGCATTCCATTCCTTACAGATAAACCTGAAATGTTCAAGTTCATAGTAAGTAAAATTAATCAGCTGTGTGCCAAAGAGATATTGTTTATTAATGGTCTCTGTCTTCTATTCTAGACAAACCAGAGAACGTCCAGTTAATGAGTTCTGCCATGAACAACAAAGCATGTACGGGAAAAGTCATCAGCTTTCATTGCTCAGCTAATGCTAATCCAGAAGTGACATCATACCAGCTGTTTGAGAACGAAACTGCCATTTTAAACACAAGTTCCTCGGGGATGTGGAACAAGACTTTGGAGAGTGAAGGGACTTTTGTTTACAAATGTGAGGCCAATAACTCTCTTGGATCAGAATACAGCATGAGTGTTACTGTCACTGTGAACGGTAAGTAAAATAGTCCAAGTTATGTTTGTTTGAGAACAATTTGAAAAACTGCACTCATAAAGGCAGCATTTGCATGAGTGTACAAACACTCGATAATAAAAATGTTGACACTTATAAGACAGGATCCATGATTGATGAGACTCAACAGCCTTATAGGAAATGTTTGCTCAGTGGCATGCCATTATTTATGGCAAGTCTCTGTTGATGATGATTCTTTTCTTTCATGAAAATGTTAAGGCTTCTATCATTTGCTTCATGTAACAATATGTAAATAAGGTTATTATGCAAATTTTTAGCCATAAAGATGCTGGGTCTCATCACTTATTGCTAACCTATTTTTGGGGTGTCAATGTTTTGCAAGCGAGTGTATATGTGCATATTCGACTGTTCCTATTTGTAAAAGGCAATGAAGTTGAAGAGGACTAAAAGCACATTTATATTAGGGAAGCTATGATCTATGTGCTTAAGGCCACAAGCCAATGGCAGGCTGCTATTTACACCTGTCCTCATTTTCACATTTTGCAGTTCCTTCTTCAATTGTCCAAATAACACAAGATCAGAATGTAACTGAAGGTCAGAATCTGACTCTTATGTGTAATGTATCTGGAATTCCTCCACCAATGGTTTCTTGGATGACACCTGATAGTCGACGTGTTAGTGGATACAAGTTGAACGTTACAAACATTAACAGGACTCAAGCTGGTGAATACAAATGTGAAGCCAGTAATGAATGTGGCAATGCAACAGAGACAGCAAACATTATTGTGCTGTGTAAGTTTGACAGTTCCTTTTCATTAAAAGGTTACATTTATCTGTATGTTAAGTAAATTCATACACTGACGGTGGCTATTATTAGATGTATAATGTACATGTGCACTATTTGTATGAATTGTGATTAAGGTATTGGTAATTTTACAAAGATTAAGGGATGTAATTTGTATTACAGTCAGACCTCTCTCATGCAAACACTGAAGGGTCATTGGAAAGTAATCTCTTCATCTTACAAGTTTTATCATATCCTATTCAGTCTTGTTCTGCTACTTAATACTCCTTGGCTACTTTGTAATATGTAACTTACAAAGGCCAATGAAATTGTATTTATAAATTGTGTCTTTTGTCTTTAGACAAACCTGAGAATGTCCAGTTAATGAGTTCTGCCATGAACAACAAAGCATGTAGGGGAAAAGTCATCAGCTTTCATTGCTCAGCTAATGCTAATCCAGAAGTGACATCATACCAGCTGTTTGAGAACGAAACTGCCATTTTAAACACAAGTTCCTCGGGGATGTGGAACAAGACTTTGGAGAGTGAAGGGACTTTTGTCTACAAATGTGTGGCTAACAACTCTCTGGGATCAGAATACAGCATGAGTGTTACTATCACCACGAATGGTGAGGAAATTTAGTCCAAATTATGCTTGTTTGAGAACAATTTGAAAAACTGCACTCATAAAGGCAGCATTTGCAACAACAACTCAACAGCCTTATAGGAAATGTTTGCTCAGTGGCATGCCATTATTTATGGCAAGTCTCTGTTGATGATGATTCTTTTCTTTCATGAAAATGTTAAGGCTTCTATCATTTGCTTCATGTAACAATATGTAAATGAAGTTATTATGCAAATTTTTAGCCAGAAAGATGCTGGGTCTCATCACTTATTGCTAACCTATTTTTTGGGTGTCAATGTTTTTGCAAGCGAGTATATATGTGCGTAGACTACTGTTCCTATTTGTAAAAGGCAGTGGAGTTGAACAGGACTAAAAGCACATTTATATTAGGGAAGCTATGATCTATGTGCTTAAGGCTGCGAGCCAGTGGCCAGCTGCTATTTACACCTGTCCTCATTTTCACATTTTGCAGTTCCTTCTTCAATTGTCCAAATAACACAAGATCAGAATGTAACTGAAGGTCAGAATCTGACTCTTATGTGTAATGTATCTGGAATTCCTCCACCAATGGTTTCTTGGATGACACCTGATAGTCGACGTGTTAGTGGATACAAGTTGAACGTTACAAACATTAACAGGACTCAAGCTGGTGAATACAAATGTGAAGCCAGTAATGAATGTGGCAATGCAACAGAGACAGCAAACATTATTGTGCTGCGTAAGTTTGACAGTTCCTTTTCATTAAAAGGTTACATTTATCTGTATGTTAAGTAAATCCATACACTGACGGTGGCTATTATTAGATGTATAATGTACATGTGCACATTTTGTATGAATTGTGATTAAGGTATTGGTAATTTTACAAAGATTAATGGATGTAATTTGTATTACAGTCAGACCTCTCTCATGCAAACACTGAAGGGTCATTGGAAAGTAATCTCTTCATCTTACGAGTTTTATCATATCCTATTCAGTCTTGTTCTGCTACTTAATACTCCTTGGCTACTTTGTAATATGTAACTTTCAAAGGCCAACGAAATTGTTTTTAAAAATTGTATCTTCTGTCCATAGACAAACCTGAGAATGTCCAGTTAGTGAGTTCTGCCGTGAACAACAAAGCATGTACGAGAGAAGCAATCATCTTAAACTGCTCAGCTAATGCTAATCCAGTAGTGACATCATACCAGCTGTTTGAGAACGAAACTGCCATTTTAAACACAAGTTCCTCGGGGATGTGGAACAAGACTTTGGAGAGTGAAGGGACTTTTGTTTACAAATGTGAGGCCAATAACTCTCTTGGATCAGAATACAGCATGAGTGTTACTGTCACTGTGAACGGTAAGCAAAATAGTCCAAGTTATGTTTGTTTGAGAACAATTTGAAAAACTGCACTCATAAAGGCAGCATTTGCAACAACAACTCAACAGCCTTATAGGAAATGTTTGCTCAGTGGCATGCCATTATTTATGGCAAGTCTCTGTTGATGATGATTCTTTTCTTTCATGAAAATGTTAAGGCTTCTATCATTTGCTTCATGTAACAATATGTAAATAAGGTTATTATGCAAATTTTTAGCCATAAAGATGCTGGGTCTCATCACTTATTGCTAACCTATTTTTGGGGTGTCAATGTTTTGCAAGCGAGTGTATATGTGCATATTCGACTGTTCCTATTTGTAAAAGGCAATGAAGTTGAAGAGGACTAAAAGCACATTTATATTAGGGAAGCTATGATCTATGTGCTTAAGGCCACAAGCCAATGGCAGGCTGCTATTTACACCTGTCCTCATTTTCACATTTTGCAGTTCCTTCTTCAATTGTCCAAATAACACAAGATCAGAATGTAACTGAAGGTCAGAATCTGACTCTTATGTGTAATGTATCTGGAATTCCTCCACCAATGGTTTCTTGGATGACACCTGATAGTCGACGTGTTAGTGGATACAAGTTGAACGTTACAAACATTAACAGGACTCAAGCTGGTGAATACAAATGTGAAGCCAGTAATGAATGTGGCAATGCAACAGAGACAGCAAACATTATTGTGCTGCGTAAGTTTGACAGTTCCTTTTCATTAAAAGGTTACATTTATCTGTATGTTAAGTAAATCCATACACTGACGGTGGCTATTATTAGATGTATAATGTACATGTGCACATTTTGTATGAATTGTGATTAAGGTATTGGTAATTTTACAAAGATTAATGGATGTAATTTGTATTACAGTCAGACCTCTCTCATGCAAACACTGAAGGGTCATTGGAAAGTAATCTCTTCATCTTACGAGTTTTATCATATCCTATTCAGTCTTGTTCTGCTACTTAATACTCCTTGGCTACTTTGTAATATGTAACTTAAAAAGGCCGATGAAATTGTATTTATAAATTGTGTCTTTTGTCTTTAGACAAGCCTGAGAATGTCCAGTTAATGAGTTCTGCCATGAACAACAAAGCATGTAGGGGAAAAGTCATCAGCTTTCATTGCTCAGCTAATGCTAATCCAGAAGTGACGTCATACCAGCTGTTTGAGAACGAAACTGCCATTTTAAACACAAGTGCCTTGGGGATGTGGAACAAGACTTTGGAGAGTGAAGGGACTTTTGTTTACAAATGTGTGGCCAATAACTCTCTTGGATCAGAATACAGCATGAGTGTTACTGTCACTGTGAACGGTAAGCAAAATAGTCCAAGTTATGTTTGTTTGAGAACAATTTGAAAAACTGCACTCATAAAGGCAGCATTTGCAACAACAACTCAACAGCCTTATAGGAAATGTTTGCTCAGTGGCATGCCATTATTTATGGCAAGTCTCTGTTGATGATGATTCTTTTCTTTCATGAAAATGTTAAGGCTTCTATCATTTGCTTCATGTAACAATATGTAAATGAAGTTATTATGCAAATTTTTAGCCAGAAAGATGCTGGGTCTCATCACTTATTGCTAACCTATTTTTTGGGTGTCAATGTTTTTGCAAGCGAGTATATATGTGCGTAGACTACTGTTCCTATTTGTAAAAGGCAGTGGAGTTGAACAGGACTAAAAGCACATTTATATTAGGGAAGCTATGATCTATGTGCTTAAAGCTGCGAGCCAGTGGCCAGCTGCTATTTACACCTGTCCTCATTTTCACATTTTGCAGTTCCTTCTTCAATTGTCCAAATAACACAAGATCAGAATGTAACTGAAGGTCACAATGTGACTCTTATGTGTAATGTATCTGGAATTCCTCCACCAATGGTGTCTTGGATGACACCTGATAGTCGACGTGTTAGTGGATACAAGTTGAACGTTACAAACATTAACAGGACTCAAGCTGGTGAATACAAATGTGAAGCCAGTAATGAATGTGGCAATGCAACAGAGACAGCAAACATTATTGTGCTGCGTAAGTTTGACAGTTCCTTTTCATTAAAAGTTTACGTTTATCTGTATGTTCAGTAAATCCATACACTGACGATGGCTATTATTACATGTAGAATGTACATGTGACATTTTGTATGAATTGGGATTAAGGTTTCGGTAATTTTACAAAGATTAAGGCATGTAATTTGTAATACAGTCAGACCTCTCTTATGCAATCACGGAAGGGTCATCGTAAAGTAATCTCTTCATCTTAAGAGTTTTATCATATCACGTTCAGTCTTGTTTTTCTACTTTATCAAATTATTCCTTAATTTTGGTTCTATTATTACACTGATTTATGTACATTAAATGTACATGTACATTAAATTACCGACTCAATGTTTTACATCATACAAAGCTGTAAAGTATGTTGTTCTATTCATTCCTTTGTCAACGCCCCATACACATTTTCATATAAATAATATAAAAAAAAGACTACTGTGAGCTTTTACCAACCACAATATTTGACACAATTTATGACTATGACTTATGATTTTGTAACTCTTGTAGACAAACCAGACAATGTGCAATTGACAACATCTGTCATGGATAACAAAGCATGTAAGGGTGACATGATTGGCTTCAACTGCTCAGCTGATCCAAGTCCATCAGTGACGTCATACCAGCTTTTTGAGAATGACACTGCTATCTTAGACGCAAATCCTTCCGGAATGTGGAAGAGGAACATGTCAAAAGAAGGAGTGTTCATGTACAAATGTATGGCCAACAACTCTTTAGGATCAGAAGTCAGTTCATTTGTTATGGTCACAGTGAATGGTAAGCTCTTAACTTTGCAGTTTACTTAAGTTGTGAATCATTTTTCTCTGCACACATTCATCAATTTATATCATGCTGTTAGCTGCGCTGCATTTAGAACAAACTCGTTCGATTGTATACTCAGGACTCTTAAAGGGTCGAGTGAGGAATGGTAATTTTAAAGTTGTGATAAGGAGCGGAAAGCGTTTGAACATTATCTTTTTTCTTGTCAATCGAATTTGATAGAAAAAAGGTACCTTTGCAATAAACTGACGCTGTGAAGCTGTTCTCTTGCATACACTTGCTAATGTACATCATCGAGTTAGCTGTTCTACATATTGGAACAAATTAGTTTTATGTGAATGTACACTGAAAACATATACTGTGTAGAATGAGGAGTAGGGTGTTAGAGATGTGGATAAGTGCGTTTGGATATTGCCTTTGTTCGTGTCAACTGATGTCAAATCCTTTCCTTTTTAAGTAATGCGTATTTCTGTACATTTAGTTCCACCATGGTCACCCGAGTCACCTAATCAAAGAAATGGAGCAATCTGCAAAAGCTATGACACCAATTAAGTTGTTTTCATTCACAATAATTTCTTTTGACCTAAGAACGCGAAAATGACGGGTGCCTTGGATACAATCATTCAATTAAGCTATTTAAAAAAACTACGACACCAATTAAATTGTTTTTATTCCCAATAAGTGTTTTCGACCAAAGAAGGCAGAAATGACGAATGCCTTGGATACAATCATTCAACACATTGTTACAAGGGACCCCAACAACGGCGATTATTCATGTATTTGAGGTTAAATGTGTTTGGTAAATGTAATGCTTTGGTAAATTTAAAGTTTGATGAATGAAATGGTAACACATATATTTATTTACGGACTAGAGATTTTGGTACAGTATTAATTTAATTTTGTGTTTGTCCACAGTGCCTTCAAATATCGAAGCAGTTCAAGATCAGAATGTCACCGAAGGTGACAATTTAACCTTAATATGTGCTGCATCTGGAATGCCTCAACCAAAAGTGTCTTGGATTAAGCCTGGTGGTCAGCGTCACAATGGACACATGTTGGAGGTTACACACATTAATAGGACTCAAGGTGGTAAATACATATGTGAAGCCAGTAATGAGTGTGGCAATGCGACAGAGATGGCAACCATTGATGTGCAGTGTGAGTAATTACCTATAGATTGAATTTATAAATGGTGAATACTTATGAGTATTAAAGTTTTGAAACAAAATTAGTCACTTAGAGGTTTTCTTATGAACCCATCTGTCCATTACTTGTCCTGGATGTGTGTAGAAAGATGTTAAGAAAGGTTAATGATGTACTTACAGTGTTTTGAGAGATCAACATGTATTAAATTGGGATTATTGGATGTTTAAACTAATGATTGTAATATTTTTGTAACTCTTGTAGACAAACCAGAGAATGTGCAACTAACAACTTCTGTGATCGACGACAAAGCATGTCAGGGTAATACTATTACCTTTAACTGCTCAGCTGATGCTAAGCCAGATGTGACGTCATATCAGCTGTTTAAGAATGACACTGCCATGAACGTCAGCCTTTCAGGGATGTGGAGCGAAACATTGACAAATGGAGGAATGTTTGTCTACAAATGTGTGGCTAACAACACTTTAGGAACAGCATCTAGTACGGATGTTATTGTTACTGTGAATGGTAAGCCTTGATCTTTGTATTAAGGTATGTTAATACTCTAGGTTTAAAATATTGATGTGAATACTCACTGGACTACTTTTATAGTTGTGGAAAATAAGAAATCATTCACCTTTTGTCTCATTTTAAGATATTGATGTAAATATGTTGGATGAATGCAACTTCTGGTAAATGTAAAGTTTAATGAATGAAATGGTTGCAAAAATATTTATTTACTTTCTAAAGGTTTTTGGT